ATAAAATATAACATTAAGTCATCAAGTTCTTGTACACATGTTTTGGGAGTTATTTAATTATTCTATGAGTAAATATATTATTCAAGTTCATAAACACGTAATTATTTTCAAGATCATTCATTTTATCTTAAATTATTCTAGAGTATATAAATTATTAAAGATCATATAATTTGAGAGTTATTCAATTATTATAAGAATAGATAAATTATTCAAGTTCGTGCACTTATTTAATTTCAATATTATTCATTTAATTTATGATATAACATCATTTGTCTAAATGAATATAAATTATTCTTTTTTCTATATTCATTGATTCAAATTAATTAAATTCCATATTAGTTCTTGTGCACCCCCTTTTGTTAGAGATGGCAAACGGGTCGAGCAGCTCATGAAAACACGAGTCGCGAGCCGCTCGGGCTCGTCAAATGACGAGCCTGAGCCGAGCCGCAAGTGAGCTCTACTGCTCGGCTCATGGGCTCGTGAAAAAATTAAAGAGCTCGTGGCCTCGGCTCGACCCATTGCCATGGCCACCCTTTGTTTAAATATATATATAAATTATTATTATTCTATATCTATTAATTCAAATTAATTAAATTTTATGTAGGTTCACTTACACGGTTACACCCCATTTGTTTAAATGTATATACATTATTCTTTTTCTATATTCATTTATTCAAATTAATTAAATTTCATGTTCATGAATCAATTTGATCGTTCTCATACAATTCAATTATTTATTTGCGTGCATGTTTAATAAGTAATATTCAATTAAATATATATTGAAAAAGAAACAGTAAGATACTATTGAAATNGTTTAAATGTATATACAGTATTCTTTTTCTTTATTCAATGATTGTTCTCGAATCAAATTGATTGTTCTCGTACAATTCAATTATTTATTTGCAGGCATGTTTAATAATTAATATTCTATTAAATATCTATTGAAAAACGAAAAGTAGAGTATTATTGAAATAATTAAATTATAGTAAGTTTAAAATCATCCAGAAAATAATTCTCACTTCATGCGATATTTAATATATTATAGATTATAGATTTAAATGTACATACATTATTCTTTTTCTATATTCATTGATTCAAATTAATTAAATTTCTTTTTCTATATTCATTGATTCAAATTAATTAAATTTCATATTCATAAATCAATTTGATTGTTCTCGTACAATTCAATTATTTATTTGCACGCATGTTTAATAATTAATATTCTATTCAATATATATTGAAAAACGAAAAGTAGGGTATTATTGAAATAATTAAATTGTAGTATAGCTAAAATCATCCAGAAATTGATTCTCACTGCATATTATTTAAGATATTATTATAGATATATGCTCTCTAGATGTTGAATGTATCGTACAGATAAAACAATGAGAAATATATATATAAGAGCCTTCTTTTGAAGTTCTAGATGATGAAGAAATCAAAAAATCCATAAGACCCGAAAAATTCCATCTATGCGACATTGGGGCGCCATGCCCTTGGCGCATCAACGCCCAAGTGCTGCTTCCTTTTCTCCTTCTTGGCGTTCGGGAAGTTTTTCTTCCAATTTGTTTTCCTTCATCCCAAAGTCATTTTCCCATTCAAACTCTCAATCTATGATAAAATTTGATCCTTATCAATTAAGACTATCAAACCAAGCCTCCCTAGACTTGCTTTATCCAATCAAGCACCAAATTGCAAGGAATTTGGGTCACACCACAACAAACCCCCCACATTGATACCAATTGTTATAGAAAACGAAGAAGATACTAAATTGCTCTGATACCACTTATTGCAATCAAGCCAGTTTGCAATAAATCAGTGATAGAACTTATATCACTTATTATGAATATTAAAGTCAAGAAAATATGACAAGATGAAAATAATCACACAAGAATACAAGATTTATTGTGGAAACCCAAATCCTGGAAAAAAAAAATTACGGGGTAGAGGTGGAGAATTCACTATAACCAATAGTAGGAAGTTACAAGTATGTTATGCAAATCTGGATCCCACAAGACTCTCAACCTGATGTCTCTATCATGCGAGTCTCTCTATAGATCCTCTAGATCACTCTTTGAATCGATCAAATAAATATGTGTAATACAAGAATCCCTAACATACTAAGAGAATTAATACAAATAAGGATCTAACACAAGGTGAAGACCTATTACAATATGTAAACCAAAAGCTGCCAAAAAACGGAATTAGGATCCTAATCCATCTTGNAATTATTTATTTGCATGCATGTTTAATACTTAATATTCTATTAAATATCTATTGAAAAACGAAAAGTAGAGTATTATTGAAATAATTAAATTGTAGTAATTTTAAAATCGTCCAAAAAATAATTCTCACTTCATGCGATATTTAATATATTATAGATTATAGATTTAAATGTACATACATTATTCTTTTTCTATATTCATTGATTCAAATTAATTAAATTTCATGTTCATAAATCAATTTGATTGTTCTCGTACAATTCAATTATTTATTTGCACGCATGTTTAATAATTAATATTCTATTCAATATATATTGAAAAACGAAAAGTAAGGTATTATTGAAATAATTAAATTGTAGTATAGCTAAAATCGTCCAGAAAATGATTCTCACTGCATATGCTATTTAAGATATTATTATAGATATATGCTCTCTAGATGTTGAATGTATCGTACAGATAAAACAATGAGAAATATATATATATATAAGAGCCTTCTTTTGAAGTTCTAGATGATGAAGAAATCAAAAAATCCATAAGACCCGAAAAATTCCATCTATGAGACATTGGGGCGCCATGCCCTTGGCGCATCAACGCCCAAGTGCTGCTTCCTTTTCTCCATCTTGGCGTTGGGTTGGGGGGGGGGGGTGCTCGCTCTCAGGAAGTTTTTCTTCCAATTTGTTTTCCTTCACCCCAAAGTCATTTTCTCATTCAAACTCTCAATCCATGATAAAATTTAATCCTTATCAATTAAGACTATCAAACCAAGCCTCCCTAGACTTGCTTTATCCAATCAAGCACCAAATTACAAGGAATTTGGGTCACACCACAACAAACCCCCCACATTGATACCAATTGTTATAGAGAACGAAGAAGATACTAAATTGCTCTGATACCACTTGTTGCAATCAAGCCAGTTTGCAATAACTCAGTGATAGAACTTATATCACTTATTATGAATATTAAAGTCAAGAAAATATGACAAGATAAAAATAATCACACAAGAATACAAGATTTAATGTGGAAACCCAAATCCTGGAAAAAAAAATTACAGGGTAGAGGTGGAGAATTCACTATAACCAATAGTAGGAAGTTACAAGTATGTTATGCAAATTTGGATCCCACAAGACTCTTAACCTGATGTCTCTATCATGCGAGTCTCTCTATAGATCCTCTAGATCACTCTTTGGATCGATCAAATAAATATGTGTAATACAAGAATCCCTAACATACTAGGAGAATTAATACAAATAAGGATCTAACACAAGGTGAAGACCTATTACAATATGTAAACCAAAAGCTGCCAAAAAAGGGAATTAGGATCCTAATCCATCTTGAACTCCTTCAGGAAATCTTCAAATCTACAACCAACTCCCAATAGTCGTCCAACAGTATTTCCAATTAAATATTCAACAAGAATTCGGGTCACGCTGAAATTCTAATAGATGAAAATGCTGAACTCGACTAACTAAAACTTGACGCACTTGCACTGCACTCACTTTACAGTAGCAATCACGGGAAAATCAAGAAAATACATCATATATCTGGTAAACTAGGCTTTAGAAACGAATGCCAGTAGATAGAAAATTCATCAGAGAGGATAATAGAACTTCTATACCTGCAGTTTGTGAAAAGGTGGATAGTTCAGAACTAAATACGAATTTGTAATTGCAAATAATAAACAATATTTTGGAAAGAGACCCCAATTTTATCTGCCCGGGATTGACATTTGCCTGAGGTAATCTTCTTAGGATGAATGGACCTGTTTGTTGACAGCTACAAGCTTGCAAGAAATTCCTAGTGCAACTGAGTTTCACTATAGATTACCTGCTCATCTGATTCACAATGGAGACAGTACGTCCAAAGCAGATTCAAATGGGTAAATACTTCATATTAAGTTTTAGCTGCCCAGTTCAAAGCAACAACTACAACTTATGGCTTACTAGTATTCAAGACATTCTGTAGCCATTGCTTTTTAAAGTTACGCGATTCTAAATAGAATTCCATATGTACTTACCTAAAGTCTCCTATGTTTTTACCCATAAAAGGAAAATGAACTCCATTGCTAAGAAAATGATAAATGAAGGCCATAACATGGTTGTGACTTGTATTTCAGCAGGAAACTTCAAATAGCTATGTTGTGCCCCTCTAACATGTAGGCTAGACTCATAAGAACTGGTTACGATGCACACCGTTCCACCATACTACCAATGTTAGCCACGTTTTACGAGGACAGAATTCTAGAAAAGAATATCTACCCATGTCAATGAAAAGAAATATTGAGTCCATTAAAACAAGCGGATGTGAACGGCAGTTCCGTATATTTACAATCACATAGAATGTTACTTACAATGCAGAAATTAGTGGTTGAAGAAAGTAGCACCCAAAAAATTGAAATTCTTACGCTGACATTCAACGGCTCGATATTACTTTATATGCATGGTCCACTAGACGCCTTAATTGCATTCATAGTTTCTTTTTCTGTAACTACTTTCAGTAACTACGCGATGCAGATTTAGAGGGGGTAGACCTGAAACCTAAATTTACCTCTATCCTTTAAGACAGCCCTGTGAAGTTTCTCGAGCCAACACTTCATCAGGATTTGATCATAGTAACAACGAAAACTCGATAAGCCATTAAAAACCAAGACTCGGTGATCATATTAACAACAATGATGACTACACTTATCCCAGTTCATCACCGCTGAGATGCTGATAGAATAAAATGTTAATAACCCACGAAACTCAAACAAAGTGTATTGATAATTAACATTCACAACCACTATACGAGCAACCGATGTGATAGATAACTCTACTTGGTTATAAGTTACACAAATGCAAATCTGAAGATCATTGCCCTAGCTCAACTATGATCTTCATTCAATGTTACAGTATCTAAACACTATAAGCATAAATGAATAGACAATATTTTGTCATTGAAAAGTATGTACTTCCAAGACAATTGACAAGAAAAATGATATAGCATAAAGGAATATGGTAACTGGTAGCAAATTATAAATTAATTTAGATAGCAATTTATAACTTAATTTAGACTATGACACAGGACAATTACCATAAATGAATAGAATACAAGGACTCAGACAATGAGAATAATAACAGGATAATAAATGATAGGTATTACAACTAAAAGCCCACAAAAATGTCTGAGGTGAAAAGGTATCCCTATTTTGGATTTTCATTCCTTTCAAACGTGCTCAAGAAGTTGATACCTTCACAGCTTTGAATGCAGGGTGGAGCAAACTGTGCTCGTCCCTCACATCAAGAGGATTACTCATCTCATTCCGAGTTCTCTTCACTCTCCTACTGGCAAGTGTTTTATGGGTGAATCCGTACATCTGCAGAATCTGATTATCGCCAAAGTTAAATGCTCGATCCATCTGCTTCAAGCACCTCTCCACTGGATAATCACCAAACTTCCCACAGGGTTTGCAACCCACAAAGTGAGTCACGAGTGGCCAACGATGATCACCAAGACCCGGATGGTAATTTTCAATCATCTCCTCATACCTATCGACTAGGATTCCCCAATAACCATGCAAATAATATGCATTCTCGAGATAAACCTTATCGCCCCACTTATCCTTTTGTGTTGCAAGTATGTACACCATAGCCGACTGATCATCAGCTTCAAAGACTGGACGATCTTTAAGCTCCTGAGTCAAAAGCTTCCCAGCTTCCTCCCTGACCTTCCCTTTCGGCCCCATTGGTGCCCACGTATCAAGAATATCTAAAGACCATTGACAGTTCCTCAACAAGAAGCTCCCAGTGTTCAACCCAATCCAATTCTTCTGATCATACACCATCTCGTTCCACCCGTGCATCACAAAATTATGATCCGTATACCTCTCCCACGGCACCTCAAACGCCATATCAGTAAACATAGCATCACTATCCATCCACCACAAAAATTCTACTTCAGGATGGGATAATAACAGCTTCCTAATTAAAGGCAGTTTCGCCCAAAACCCAGCCATTTCAGCATCAAGCAAAGCCATATTGTAAAAAACCTCAATCCCATGTAGCCTACAGTAATCGATCTTATTCTTTATAGATTTCAACAAGTAATGATCACCGACCGGATTCTCACAAGGCTTCGGGGATGACCCGGTAACCAACAAAACTCTAGGCTTTTTAGGAGCCATAAAATTCGAAAAATTGGGGTTCCTTTTAAGCCATTCAGCTCTTCGCTTATCCCAATCTGATATTTTTGGCCCAAGACTATAAGGCAGGGAGGGATCCCTCTTAAATTCTTCGGTTCCATCATCTTCATCCTTCAATATCTTCCCTATATCAAATTCTGCATAATTATTACTACCATTTTCCGAAGCATCAGTCGATGAACTAGATTTTTGCTGTCTTTGAGCAGCCTTTGCCTCCTCCAGCACACGGCGTGGCTCGGCCCGCCTACGAATATATGAAAACGTTTCTCGGATCTCATCCAGGTCCTTCTCAGGCGTACCAAATTTTCCAGCGCCCAGATTTCCTCGCAAAACGACTACCGTAAGCAAAAGACAAAACAGCGTCAGCTTCCCATTTCGCATAAGCCTCTGGATTTGCCTCCTACGGCGGGGGCTCAAGAATCGATCCAGCATGATTCTCAATCGGGACTAAAATGGGTTCCGGAAAAAAAAAAAAAAAAGAGTTCTTGAAGCGAAAATAGGGTCTACAAAAAAGGAGATTTTGAAGTTGATTACTAAAAATGAAATGGGTCTTTTGAATAGTGAGATTGAGTAGAAGATGAGAGGGGGAAAATGGCGAGAAGGTGAAGAAGAATTGGTTTTCAGACAGCGAATAATCATTTGTAATTCGTTATGAGGTGATTACGCGTAGTAAAGTGATAGTTTTTCTTTTTTTTTCCCTAATGTGGGCCCATTATTTGGACATGTATGGACAGGGACAAAAATTGGGATCCTAAGTCCTCAACCTAGTCCCAGCATTTAGGTCTCAATTAATTTTTTGTCATATTTATAAGAGAGAGAAGCATTTTATCTTGCTATTTGCTCTGAAATGACATGCTGAAAAAAAAAAAAGCGCGAATGAAACCATTCATTATAAAAAGGTTGAACCCCAACCTTGAGGGCCCCTACCGACCCTGCCCTGGGCCATTGTGAAGGAGGTAAATCGC